GAATGAAACAGCTCTCCATAAGTGCCAACCAAACTCAATCTTCTGTGGAACACAGGGCTCATCTCTGGGTTCAGTGGCAAGCAGGGCATATTTGGTATGCAAATCCCTCATCTGTTGGGGATGACCTTGGGAAACTACTACTCCAAATTTTAGTTCAGTATAATAAAATTTTGCAAGGTGATAACTATTAGCTGCGGTGGCCTTCTTAAATTTAGTACAATATACCAAATCATCACTTTGTAAGAGTTTAATTGAAATCTATCATCTGGTTTAATATATCAAAAGTATCAAACACATGCACACCTAGGAAAACGTTTGCCTGCTTTTCTTGACATTGGGCAATAATTACTGCAAACAAGTAGGACGTTTTTGTCAGCAATATAAATTTAGTCATTGCTTTAACTTTCAGGTAAGAGTCTGTTGCGCATGTATACAGTAACAGACATGTTTACATATTCTGCATGCAGTTTAAGCACGATCTGTCTAATCACACCAGTCTGGTGCATAGCAATGCAATGTGAAGAAGGAGAGTAACATCAGCTAGTATACCAAACCTGACATATGTTGAGGGAATTTGTGGAAATGCATGAATTTAATCCATCTTTACTAAATGGCAAATAGACTGGGAGGAAGCTGCAGTGCAGTGAGACCTGTTGGTCAGTCCTGAGCATATGTCTGATGGATTGAAAGCAAAAGGGACAAATAAAATAAATAGTAAGGAAAAGTATAAACGTGTACTTTGAACTACGAATTTACTGCTGTCATGCTGCCTGTCTGAAAGAAAGTGATAGTGAGGCAAGAGCGAGAGGAGAAACCTTAAACCAAAATCAAAACTAAGCTCATTTACTTACGCCAAATGCTTCCACTTAATCCAAGACATCCACAAAACAATTCAGTGAACCCCCCAAAAATGTAATACACATACATATACAGATAGACAAACTTCACAAAATTGTCACATTTTATGCTCCTTGATACCTGCCACGCCTACCTGCTCTATCTCAGGCTGTGCCGTAGACAGCTTGTGTCAGATGTCCAGTCTACGGAAGATGTTTGTTTGCATGACCACGCGCTACCTCCTTATCATGGTGATACATTTTATTGCACATCACATCAGTTGTTTTTTTTTCAAGGTATAACTTCAAAAAATTCAGTGTTATTAGAAAAATATTTCAAGTATATACATAAAAAACATTAGCATTTTGGGTTTAGCTCCAATATTAGTGTGTGTTGCTGGATTTTATTTAACATCTTAACTTAAGTTTCACCAGCTGTCTTTGTTTTTCTTTTTAATTTGCTGACAGCGCAACGAATTCCGGGATACCGTCGGCTCAGCCACGTATGATACTCGGATGTAGCCTATAATTTGGGGATTTTGTCAGCCACATTCTGCCATGCCCATCTGCTTTTAACTGCAATCAAGCTCATGAGCCTCACCTGTTTTCTGCCCCATGTAAGCTCCCTTCCCACACCAAGTCTCTGTCAGATTATCAAACACTTTTTCTCAGTAGATGTCCAGCACTCTTTCCATGTGCACTCAGGATCACCCTCTAGATATGTCTTCTGCTTTCTGACCTCCCGTGAATGACCCTCACCTTTCCCCTGGAACAGCTGTGATCTCTGTGTGATCTCTGTCTTCTCAGTCCATCTCAGACGCACTAGTAGCAACCCTTAACCACTTAAGAGACCTCTGGAGCCTTCTTAAATATCTGGGACAGTAAGAGTGATTCTTAGTCTGTAGAATTTTGATAAATGGCATTTAGAATAGGAGTAAATCTAAGGCATTTTTCACACTTAAGTCTAATATTTCACTCTAAGAACTTGGATAAATATGGGCCAAGATTTCTCCAGTTTTAGCTTCTCTCCACTGGCTCTTTGTCAAATTCAGAATAAAATTAAAAATCTTAGTTCTAACATACAAAACTCTCAACAACCAAGCTTCATCTTATATTAAAGATCTTGTTCCATATTTCCCTAACAGAACACTTAATTTTCAGACTGCATCTTTCAGTTAGCAAGCTTCTCTCTTGTGGAACCAACTTCCAGTTTCTGTCTATGAGGCTGACACTCTGTCTACTTTTAAGATTAGAATGAAGACTTTCCTTTTTGATAAATCATATACACTCACCGGCCACTTTATTAGGTACACCTGTCCAACTGATCGTTAACACTTWATTTCTAATCAGCCAATCACATGGCGGCAACTCAGTGCATTTAGGCATGTAGACATGGTCAAGACAATCTCCTGCAGTTCAAACCGAGCATCAGTATGGGGAAGAAAGGTGATTTGAGTGTCTTTGAACGTGGCATGGTTGTTGGTGCCAGAAGGGCTGGTCTGAGTATTTCAGAAACTGCTGATCTACTGGRATTTTCACGCACAACCATCTCTAGGGTTTACAGAGAATGGTCCGAAAAAGAAAAAACATCCAGTGAGCGGCAGTCCTGTGGGCGGAAATGCCTTGTTGATGCCAGAGGTCAGAGGAGAATGGGCAGACTGGTTCGAGCTGATAGAAAGGCAACAGTGACTCAAATAACCACCCGTTACAACCAAGGTAGGCAGAAGAGCATCTCTGAACACACAACATGTCGAACTTTGAGGCAGATGGGCTTCAGCAGCAGCAGACCACACCGGGTGCCACTCCTTTCAGCTAAGAACAGGAAACTGAGGCTACAATTTGCACAAGCTCATCGAAATTGGACAAGAGAAGATTGGAAAAACGTTGCCTGGTCTGATGAGTCTCGATTTCTGCTGCGACATTCGGATGGTAGGGTCAGAATTTGGCGTCAACAACATGAAAGCATGGATCCATCCTGCCTTGTATCAACGGTTCAGGCTGGTGGTGGTGGTGTCATGGTGTGGGTAAGCTTTTCTTGGCACTCTTTGGGCCCCTTGGTACCAATTGAGCATCGTTGCAACGCCACAGCCTACCTGAGTATTGTTGCTGACCATGTCCATCCCTTTATGACCAAAATGTACCCAACATCTGATGGCTACTTTCAGCAGGATAATGCACCATGTCATAAAGCTGGAATCATCTCAGACTGGTTTCTTGAACATGACAATGAGTTCACTGTACTCAAATGGCCTCCACAGTCACCAGATCTCAATCCAATAGAGCATCTTTGGGATGTGGTGGAACGGGAGATTCGCATCATGGATGTGCAGCCGACAAATCTGCGGCAACTGTGTGATGCCATCATGTCAATATGGACCAAAATCTCTGAGGAATGCTTCCAGCACCTTGTTGAATCTATGCCACGAAGAATTGAGGCAGTTCTGAAGGCAAAAGGGGGTCCAACCCATTACTAGCGTGGTGTACCTAATAAAGTGGCCGGTGAGTGTAGTTAGACTCAGGTTTCCTGAGTTGTTCCTTAGTTTTTCCTTAGTTCTGCTGCTATAGGCTTAGACTGCTGGAGGACAAACTGACCACATTTCCTCACTCTGCTGCTGTCTTTAGTCACTCTCCTCTAATGCTTGTTGTAATTACTTCTATCACTAACTTTTTTTTTTCGCTCTTCCAGAAGAAAATACACCTGGACCAGTCATTTGTGTTTGTCTGCGTCTAGTTCCTGTCCTCCCAAACCCAGCCGGTCGAGGCAGATGGCCGCCTGTCCTAAGCCTGGTTCTGGTTCTGCTGGAGGTTTTTTCATGTTAAAAGGGGTTTTTTCCTTTTCACTGTCACCAATGTGCTGCTCAGGATGGGACACTGTGATGAAGTCTTTCAACGCAATCTGCTGGCTTCCTTAGATTGATTTTTTGTTTGTTTGTTTGATTGTTTTGTACAGTGCCCTGAGATGACATTTGTTGTGACTTGGTACTATATAAAAAAAACTGAATTGAATCCCTAAATAAAAATCCTCAAAATATTCGAAGTTGTCATTTACCTAACATGCCTGTTTATACTGTACTAATGAAGACACACCAGAACTTGGAGGACTGAAGTCAAGTTTGATCACATGTGCAGAAGCAAGTCATATTTGGTTTGATTTATTAACTCCCTTTCATTCTTCCCTTTAGTTCCACATGGTGATTATAAGTGGGGGCTTACCCCTAATTTATGCTATATGCAGTTCTGCTCCTCTCTGCTGCACTGCTCACTTCTCCGTTATTTTTTTGCACCCCAGTTTATACTGCGTCCTTTTTGGTGCGAAGCAGATGATCTCCAAGAAGTATGTGCAGGAAATGCAAGATTGCGTGATAAATCCAGTGATAAATGAGAAAGTCATAGCAAAAATAATCAATTCTGTGGAAAACGAACTCCAAACACAGTTGAAACTGCATCACTCTTGTCTTTTTGAAACTTCTATTTTCAGAATAAAATATTCTGTACGTTGCATGTTGCCACCTGCTTCCAAACAGAACGATACATTCTGACAGCATTTGTGTTTAAATACTATATTCATACATTTATTAATATAGCTGGGCTTTCAACAAAATGTGTCAGCCTTTGGTGACTTATTTTGAAAATATGGATGTTGTGCTTGTTCCTTTTCTTGTTAGTGCAACATAATTTTTGTGGGTTGACTCTAGGGCAGCTCCGTCATCCGGCAAAAATAGGATCAAATCAAATTTTGGTGAACTGCCCTGTGCCACCATACAGAGCCATAATGGTTGTGTATTTACTGCAAAGGTCGAACCAGAGCAGAGCGGAACTGCATCCAGTGTAAATTAGGGGTTCCAGTTTGGTCCACTACTGCTACTTAGTGTGGTGATGTCAGATTAAACTTTGAGCTGTCTGAGTTTTTCAAAATGTTTGCAAACTCTTATTTTCACATTACTTACAGTGGCTCTAGATTTTATACATCAAAACATAGGCATTTTTTTATCTTTCCCCCAGTGTGTACCTCATTGCTAAAGGACTTGAAGTTTCCTCCTTAACAATTTAAATCCTTCACAGAATATTGAGTGCACACCCCTCAGATTCTCATTGGCTTTCATTGTATTGAAGTTCTACTTGTTTACATAAGCCTCTTAAGAAATTTTCTGGATAACAATTCTTATCAGACAAGAAAACTGATTCAAACAAATTTCATGCTGTTTCTGACCTGCAGATGTAGTTGGTCTTGCAGGAGGCCTGTAGTTCCAGACAGTTGGCTTTTTGTTTTTCATCGTACGAGCAGACAGGAACAATGGTTTGACGCCTGCGTTCAGAGCATGCTGTCTGGTCACTGGTGGGACATGAGCAGAACAGCATACCATAGCTGTGTTTTGGATGAACCTGGACAGCAAAACAATTATAGTAATATTATCTACAAAAGAAGACAACTCATTTAAATTAATCATGTAGGTTTATATTAACATATATAGTTGTTTTGTTCTTTAGTGTAAATGACCACTTAAAAAGTAAATAAAATAAAATAAAATAAACTGATAAAGAAAAATCGATACTACAGTTAAAATATTTCTTTTAATGCTCGATTTAAAATTTTAGAAAAGCTGAAATCTGATACCCCTTTCTCTATCTAGGGATCCAAGCCTGCGGAGCATTTAATCCTACTGAAACGCTTCTGTTTTATGTCCCCCGTTGCCGAGACGGGGGAAATACTTTGTGTCTGTTCAACCGTCCGTCCATCCATTACAATTTCAGAAAGCTGTAACTTTTACATAGAAAGGCTAAAATACACCAAACTTGGTATGAGTCATCAATGATGCATACCCAACCATGTGATCATCATCAAAGCCCTGCCCCCTGACAACAGGAAGTGACCCTTGTTTTGCTTTCTACCTCTAACTATGAAAAGCTAACTCCCAGCTTTGAACATGCAGACTTCACATGCGGGTGGTGTGGGTGTGGCAGAGGGCTGAATGCTGATGCCTCGCCCACTTTGCACAAAGTTGCCTCTAAATCACACATACATGATCAGATCAGCACCAAATTTTGTGTGCATCATCAGGGACACCTGCTCAACACATTTGTAGTAGGTTGACAAGATCACTTTAGGCCCCCATCCGTTCACCTCATGAGATGATTTAAATAATAAAGGCCTGTGATTATTCCAACAAAACTGCTACCAGTTGGTCACTAATGAATGGTGACAGGGGACATCAGCGATGATTCATGTCAAGTTCTATCTTAATATTTTTTTCCATTATGTTTTATTTTTCAACATACTGAAGCCCAAACCGCAAGGACTAATGAAAAGATATTGTATTTACTTGGTAGTAACTATAGGAAAGAGAAAAGAAATCCTTCAATAATGTCTATCTAAAGGTGGCACTCTAATTAAGTTATTTGCATTTGTTTTTTTACTTTCTAAATCAAAAGTCACAAAATTGTTTTGGCTTACATCTTTACAATCCCTGGTCACTACTGAGTCAAGTGGTATAGGCCATGCCATTTCCGCCTAAATCTATTTTACCACAGTGCATAAAAATGCAAAAACTACTTTTAGCTTCTACTCACTTGCCATGAAACTCAACATTCTTGACAGTATACTGATTCTGACCTCTGAAGAAAATGTAAATAATTTTTAGCCAGACTAAAAATTAGGCCTAGGGAAATTGCTTTGGCAGGTTAGCTAAACACAAATTATGCCATATCTTCAAAACAATAGTATATGATTTATTGAAAATTGTACTCCTGTCACAAGAGTCAGTTTTGAGTTACTGGAACAAATTTGAAATTTGTTGTATAGGGGCGCTATTGTAGCAGGTATTGGGCCGGTACAATCACCACTAATGGTTTATATTTTTTGCAGCAAAGGACCAGGGTTTCTGTAATTAGACAAAAATGAGACAGAAATGCTTACTGCTTGTATCCTTCTTCATGTATCTCTTCAGACTGTTTTATTTCTCATTCCATAAACAATTAAATCCAACATTACAGTTGTCTGATATTATGGTGCATTTCAACATTAAATGTTTATCAATAACATTTACTATCCAAACTAACACCTTCAACTTAGCAGCACTAACATTTTAGACAACATTATCCTCCAGCTGCTAAAGAGGAGGCTACATGAACATGAGAACATGTACCCAGATGTAACTTTTATAATTCTGGGAGATTTAACCACTTCACCCTTAAGAATAAAAATGCCTAAACCGCATCAGTATGTACTGTATCATTCCCCACAAGAGGAAATAAAACACTGGATCACTGTTAAAGCAATATCAGAAATGCCTTTTCTGCAGAACCAAAACCACACTGGTAAGTCTGATCACTTAACAATCCAGCTTAAACCAGTCTATGAAATTTGGGTTTTACTTCAATGCGACGTGAGCCAGACTTGATTGCATCATTTCAGACGTCTTTTTTCCTGACTGAGTATACAGGTGCTGGTCATAAAATTAGAATATCATGAAAAAGTAGATTTATTTCAGTAATTCCATTTAAAAAGTGAAACTTGTATATTATATTCATACATTACATACAAACTCATATAAGTTTATAGACATTGCTTTCAGGCCTTTGGAAGTTTTATCAGCCC